AGTTTTTCTGAAGCTCATCCCTGTAAACTCTTTATGATTGCTGATTTTCCACCAGGATTTTGTCTTCTATGCCCCCCGGCTGCGGATTAACAAGCGGATCTTGGCCCTGTGCATGGGAAACCACGAGCTATACATGCGTCGCCGCAAGCCTGACACCATTGAGGTGCAACAGATGAAGGCACAAGCCCGGGAGGAGAAGCACCAGAAGCAGATGGAGCGGTGAGTGGTGCAGAGCTGAAATGGGGGTCAGGGCTTGGGAAAGGAAATTTCTAAAGGTGCCAAGCATGCTAAGTCAAGACATGAAGCCAGCCTAGGATTGGAAGTCTCAAGGTACCCCTGTTCCTGGAATACAAGCATTAGGAACCTAGGCTTCTAGAGGCTTATATGAGGAAGGACATTATTGTCTATGATGTCTCATGCTGTTGCTATGCTGGGCAAGCTTTAGGTTGCTCCAAGCTGTCTGACCAGTATACTGGCAGTAGCAGAGTATTCCATGCACATTTAAACCTGGAGTTGGTAGGGTTTTGTGAATAAATCTGGGCAGACTTTTCCCAAGAAGCCCCATTTCATTGCACTATAGCTCTTTGCTACTCACAGTATAATCTGAGGCCCAGAAGCATCAGCATAATCTGGAAACTTGTTAAGAAAGCAAAATCTGAGATCTTACTCCAGACCTACTGAATCACAATCTGAATCTTAAGACCCTAGGCAATTCCTAAGCACATTAAGGTTTAAGAAGCATGACTCTAATATTAGATTCTCAGTAATAAAGAGTTTGGAACTCAGGAGGCTGGAAAATGACTCTGTCTAAAAGAGATCACATTTATTCACATGCACACACACACACACACACAAAATCACTCAGATTGAGGGGAAGTCTACAGAGCTGGATCTGGCAAGAACTCTGTCCTTTAGGACCTCACAATCTAGTACGAGTCAGAGAGGAAAAAGTAGCATGTACATACTGGTCGAGGTACAAATGATGTTTCATTCATTCATTCAATATTTATTGTTGTTGTTGTTATGTGCTGTCGAGTCAACCCTGACTCATAGCGAACCCTCCTTGGGTTTCTGAGGTGGTATCACTATGGAAGTAGATTGCCCAACCTTCCTTCCAAGGAGTGGCTGGTGGGTTTGAACCGCTAGCCTTCTAGTTAGCAGTCAAGTGCCTTAGGCAATATGCTACTAGAGCAATGAACAAAACATACAAAAATCCCTGCTCTTATGGAGCTGCCTTTCTAGTGGCAGGAGACAGAGACAGATATAATTAAATAAGCAAATAATATAGTATGTGAGATGATAAGAAGTACTAGGGAGAAAAATAATAGGGGAAAGGGATGTGGGAGGAGAGGTAAGGTAAGCCAAATATTCTGAGGGCTCAGAGGTAGAAAAAGACTTCTTGGCAAGGTGATCAATAAGATGCCCTGGAAGAGGTACTGGGGCAAGAAAAAGCAGACAGATATCCTAGGTTTCCAACAAATTCTGGGAAGAATGCACCTAGAACTGGTGCATAGGACAGGCAGAGTTGAGCCTGAGGGCTGATGCCTTAACTACAGAGATCAACCAGACTTGAAGCAGAGTTCCAGGACAGTGCTAAAACTTGTTTCCCTGTAATTGTATAAGGGAAACAGGGTTGTTGTTACATGCCATCAAGTTGGTTCCCACTTACAGCGACCCTGTGTACAACAGAACAAAACACTACCTGGTCCTGTGTCATCCTCACAATTTTTCCTGTGTTTGAGCCCATTGTTGCAGCCACTGTGTCAGTCCAGCTTGTTGAAGATATTTCTCTTTTACACTGACCCTCTACTTTACCAAGCATGATGTCTTCTCCAGGGACTTGTCTATCCTGAGAACATGGCCAAAGCACTTCTCAGGAGCATTCTGGATGTAATTCTTTCAAGATAGATTTGTTCGTTCTTCTGGCAGTTCATGGAATATTCAGTATTCTTCACCAACATCATAATTCATAGGCATCAATTTTTGATCTTCCTTATTCATTGTCCAGCTTTACCATGCATATGAAAAAAAAAACAAAACTCACTGGAAATGAGTCGATTCTGACTCATAGCAACCCCCACTGAGTTTCTGATATGAGGTAACTGAAAATATCATGGCTTTGCTCAGATGCACCTTAGCCCTCAGAGTGACATCTTTGCTTTCTAACACTTTAAAAAAGGTCTTTTTTTTTTTTTTTGCCAGATTTGCTCAGTACAGTAGGTCATTTGATTTCTTAACTGTTGCTTCCATGGGCATTAATTGTGGATCCAAGTATAATGAAATCCTTGATAACTTCAATCTTTTCTCCACTGATCATGACATTGCTTATTGATCCAGTTGTGAGGGTTTTTCTTTATGTTGAGGTATAATCTATACTGAAGCCTATAGTCTTTGATCATCATCAGCAAGTGTATCAAGTCTTCTTTGATCCCAACAAGCAAGATTGTGTCATCTGCATATCACATATTGTTAATGACTCTTCCTTCAGTCCTGATGCCATGTTCATCTTTATATTGTCCAGCTTCTTAGATCATTTGCTCAGCATACAGATTTAATAAGTATGGTGTGCAAGGATATGACCCTGACACACACCATTCCTGATTTTCAACCATGCAGTATTCCCTTGTCCTGTTCTAGTGACTGCCCCTTGGTTTATGTATAGGTTCCTCATGAGCACAGTTAAGTGTCCTGGAATTCCCTTTCTTTGCAATGTCATCCATTATTTGTTATAATCCTTGCATAGTCAACAAAACACAGGTAAGCATCTTGCCAGTATTATCTGCTTTCAGCCAAGATCCATTTGACATAAGCAATGTTATCCATTGTTCACATCCTCTACTGAATCCAACTTGAAATTCTGATAGTTCCCTGTCAGTATACTGCTGCAGCCATTTTTAATTATTTTCAGCAAAATTTTATGTGTGTGATGTTAATGATATTGTTCAATAATTTCTGCTTTCTCTTGTATCACTTTTCTTTGTATTGGGTACAAATGTGGATCTCTTCCAGTCTGTTGGGCAGAGAGCTTTCTTCCAAATTTCTTGGCATAGAAAAATGAGTGCTTCCAGCATTGTGTCTGTTTGTTGAAACATCTCAACTGGTATTCCAACAATTCCTGGAGTCTTGTTGCTTTTGCCTCCAGTGCAGATTGGACTTAATTCAATACCATCAATTCTTGATCACATGCTACTTCCTGAAATGATTGAATGATAGACAGGGTAGGCTTTTATAATCTATCATCAGAACTCCCTAAATTTATGAGGGATAACAATCAGGATCAGCACAGATATGCTTCCTGTGAGGTGAAGGTCAAGAATACCTTTACTTTGCAATTTTTTCACCATTTCTGATACCAGTTTTCCACTATACCCCCCAGGTACTATATGCTTCTCTGTTGGATGTGATAATCCATTGCAATGGCCACACAGAACTCTCAAGCCATACTTACAGTTAAGAAGCTTATTAGAGAAGAAACAGGCTACTACTGAGGATAAGGATCAACTTGAAAGTAATAAGAACAACTCAAGACCAGAATTAGGAAGCACATAGGCAAGATCTGGAAAGCTCTCCAAAGAGAGAGAGCATATCCTCCCTTATTCATTTCAGGACAGCTTCCAAGAAGAACAGCTGTCTTAGCTGCTCTGTGCTGTGCTCGAAGGTCTCTCTTGCCATACTAGCAGGCCTCTCTAGATAGACTTCCTCTTGGCCCTGTCAGGACATACCTCCTCTCAGCCTTTCGGTTACATCTGTCAACACAGCTAGGGCATCTGCTGCTGCCAAAAGCAGGTGAACTTGGCCCCCACAATACCACTTGGTCTGCTTGAGCATTACCTGCCCAGGCCTGGACTGTGGCTGCTTCTGCTTTATGAGGCACTCACCTCCATTGGTGGCCTCTTGTTTGGAGGTGTGCCTACCTCTGCTCTGTGGGTTTCCACTACCATCATCTGGCTTTCTCATGGTTCCCTCTGCTTGTGCTGCTACTATCATTTCTCTGCTTCTTGTCTCTGCTGTGCTTGCTGCCATCTTGTGCCATCTTCAGTGTTGCAGCTCTTGATCCATATTACAGCTCTTTTAGGAGGTTTCCTCTTGTTCTCTCCTTCCTCACCTCTCTCTGATTCTTTTCTTCTCACCTCTAAAAACCTCTGTGAGCTTGTCTGAATATATAAGCAAAGTTCTTGTCAGTTTCAAGGTGTGGCCCATCCTACAGGACCATAGACTGACCAATCCTTGCAAGTCATTCAATCCTATTCATAGATTTTCAAGCCACTATTTACACAGCAAATGGACCAATCCCTGCAAGGTGCATAAAATAAACCAATCACTGGGAAGACTATAGCACAACCAATCATTTTGGGCAGAATTACAAAGTCACAGCCAGAAAGGCCATATGTAAGAGAAACTCATTGCACTGCAGCTTTATTAGGCCATTTTACAGATAAAATAACTGAGGACAAAAGTGAAGAAGCAACATAGCTAAGATCACTCAGTGGGTTAGTAGTGGAGCTGGAATTCTGTTTGCATCTCCTGTCTCTGGGGCAAACTGACAGGGCCCTGAACATACTGATCCATGTGAGACTATGTAGCCAGTGAGGACAAGGATGTGGAGATAAGAGAGAGTGGTACAAACTCACAAACTATGGGTATGTTGGAAGGGTGAGGGCTGAAGATCCAGGGCCAGGGGGACATTGGGAATCCCAAGGCTTCTATGCAGCCCTGTTCCATACCTTCCCTATCCTTCCTTAGTGCTCTTCTGGAAAATGAGAAGAAGAAGCGTGAGATGGCAGAAAAGGAGAAGGAGAAGATTGAACGGGAGAAGGAGGAGCTGATGGAGAGGCTAAAACAGATTGAGGAACAAACTAAGAAGGCTCAGGATGGTGAGGCTTGGGGTCAGTTTGGATATTGGGTTTCCCCAGAGCCTTACCCTCTGAGCTAGAGATCCCTGTAGCTTGCAGTCTAGGTGTGACCACAGAATAGATAAAGCAGAGTGCAAGAAGAAGAGTGCCCAGAGTTTCTCTCAGCTGTTCCCTGGGGTGGAACATTTCCAAGAAGGAAGCTAGATGTTCCTTCTTCATCCTATACTTTTCATTGCCTTCTCCCTTCCTCTGTGCAGAACTGGAAGAACAGACCCGCAGGGCCCTGGAACTTGAGCAGGAGAGGAAACGTGCCCAGAATGAGGCTGAGAAGCTGGCCAAGGAGCGTCAAGAAGCTGAAGAAGCCAAGAAAGCCCTGCTGCAGGCCTCTCAGGACCAGAAGAAAACCCAGGAGCAGCTGGTAAATCTATAGGGTGGTCTGGGACAGTGGAGCCTGAGTCATTTCCTGTCTTTCTGCCTGTCTGTCTGCCTGCAAGACTGGCTCTTTCCTCCAGGGTACCCCTTCACAGGCCTTCAACAGATAGCTCATTCAGAAGCAAGCTGAGAAGTCACAGGTGTGACCCAGAAATTTTTTTTTTTTAATTTTATTTTGATTTGGGTGAAGATTTACAGAGTAAATTCACTTTTCATACAGCAGTTCACATATACTTTGTCTCATGTCATTGA